AATACAATCAAATATTTAAAAAATAAAACTTGAGGCCTTTACATTTTATCATTGATAATTTCAATATGATCATATAAATCCAAAAGCGGAGAATGAACTATTCCAAAATGACAAAGCCATTTCACTGGTGGCAGATACCTTAAACACCCCTGCTGTGTTGGCTGTAAGCAAATGACAGGATGATCCAGGGTCAAATCTTCCTTATCCTATTAGCAACAGAAACAGGCCTGACCTAGGCAGGACCATCAGCCAGGCAGGGCTATCAGCATGAAACCTTTTCAATGCCTTGTCTTCATCACTAGCATTCCATAGTCAGTTTTGATGCTATACATTTTGAGATTAAAAACAAAGCATACTAATCAAACCCCTAGTTGTCAGAAAAAAATGCTTATTTTAGACTAAATAATGTATTTTAATGAAAACACTGAATATTGAAATATCCTAATGCTCATAGAAGTCATAACCAATTTCAGAGAATTTTAATCTAATGATAACAATCAGATTCATAAAGTATTTGCTCATAATTTTTATTGTTGCCATAATTTTAATGTCTAGCAAGTAATCTGTAAAAAGTCTGGTTTATACAACACTGTTAAATGAAAGCCATAGCAATTTAGGCTATTTGTCACATAAAATTAGGAAAATTAATTTTTTGAAAGATATTCATTTGAGACATATACTAATTAGACAGATTTGTGTATAATGGTGAAATAAAGTTAAAAGTTTAATTGTACCTCATATAATTCTGAAAGCAAAATGTGTATAGAGTCAATTATTTATGATTTTTTTTACAGGTAACTAAAATGTGCATTTCAAGTCACCATTGTATTCAATTAATGGCTATTCTTATGCTAATGGTATTATGTAATTCACAGCTCTGAAATTTTCGGTAGGAGAACACAGAATGCTGAAATTGCAAAAACACTGACGTTGTATGAGGCTCCCTTTTCCTACCGTCAGGTTTACGTCCTGTGTTAGACCATTGATTGATCCATGCATAGCTGTAACTGTTTTCAAATTTCAGGCAGTGTGTGTTAAGTTGTGCATTTTCCTTCTCATCTAATTTTCAGAGAAGTATGCAGCACAAAATTAATGGCCACTGTTCTCACCAGTTTGCAGATAAATGCATGTCTTTTTGTGTATTGTAAACCTGCTTGAGGACACAGGTTCGCAGTGGACGTCCATGCAGCTCCACACATTTCCAGGAAATCCATGAGAATATGAGAGAACAATAAACTAAGTAATTAAATTATTAACTAGACAACTAAGTGCTACTTTCCACAAGGCCATGTCTCCTTCCTGTGACTGCTTGAATCCAAATGTTAGTGTATGTTAGGATAAAAAGGTCTGGTTTTCCCACCACAAAAGGTGATGACTCTGAAAAGTAATCCCATTTCAAGAACTCTTCATTTCTCCTTGTACTCAATTCTGCCTCCTTTCCCCTCCCTATGATCACAGTGATCACGGAAACACTTGGCTTTGAACTTCCTGCAGATCAGTCTTCCACAGGAAATCAACCTGAGACAGTGTCAGCATTAAGGCAAGAAAATTCTGCGTCATAGCTTTTGATCTTTCTATGGTGCTATTCATGCTCCCTTTAACTGAAAAAAAAAAATAAATTAAAAAAAAATTAAAAAAAAACAACCCAAAATACCGAACTATTTTTCTAAAGATTGATGAAAAAGACCACTAAGTTCACGTAAATGAAAAATTTAAGACAGGCAAAGTATGTAGAATGTATAAATAAAAAATAGAGGACTCATAGTTGATTCTAATATGTTGGGAAGCATTTGAATATCATTAATAAAACTGATTTTAGAGCCTTCTGCCTCTTGTTTCAGGTTAGGACAGAACTAGAGAGCTGAAGTGTTTGAATCTTCAGTCTGGAATGCTTTGACACAAAAGATTTTTAATTTCAGGGCTCAAATATATCATAAGGATAGATACATAGACAGAGAGATAGACCGTGAAAATCTCAGATTCTTTCAGCTAAGAGCATAATTTATGGATCACCTGGTCCACACTCATCTTTATGCAGATGGAGATGGAGTTTCAAATAAAAGTCATCTGACTCAAGATCTAGTAATGTCATGGCTCCCCCTGCTCCTTCTGCATCTCAGCCCAAAGCTTTCCCCCACACCATGAAGCTCCCCAATGGTCCCAAGATTCCTGCAAGATGCAGATTCTCCCTTCCAGAGCATCTTACCTGGCACCTGCCATTTGCACATATATCTAGTCCCTGATATCCACAAGAAGTTCCATCCATCACTTTTTCTGACAGAAGAACAGGTTGTTCTTTTCCGATAGGAGAGCAAAACAAGGCACATGGCTTTTCTACATACAAGCGAATAAAAGAAATGAGAAAATGAACTCCATCAATATTTTTATCTTTTATTGATTTTATCCTTGTCTACTTTTCATAATGACTGTTGAATAAAATATAATTCAATGTTAACTGAGTAATGTAACATCTCATTGGTTAACACCAGAGGCTTGTTTTATTAGATAATACAGCTAAGAAAAAAATACCCAATACATATTAATCTCCTTAAGAAATCTGGTTTCAAATTATTTTCAGATGTGTACTTATTATTTTCTGGCATAAACTTTATTACAGAAAACCACTCACTTTCCTGGAATATATTTGTTCCATCTCAATTTTTGTTCAGATCTTTGGAATGATACCTTCTTTATCTTAAGCACACACCAGCATTCTACTTATCTTTTAGTCCTGGTTAATATTTATTTTATCCATGTAATGTCTCTCACTTTTAAATTCCAGTACATGAATTTTAAATTCTTTACATACATTTTCAAACAATAATTTTATAAAAACCTACTAAAGAAACAAAGAAATTGCCACCAGCTTCTCCATTATTTGGATGTACAGAAATGGAACACATTCACAAAACATCCGTCATGCGATTCAATTGCTGATGCTTTAGTAGAAATCAACCCCTTTTACTGTCTACCCAAAAAATATACAGTATGTGTAATAAGGAGGTTTGGAACCATTACTTCATGGTGAAGAATTCTTGACCTGCTAGAATTCCTCACTGATATCTCACTGAGTATAAGGTACAATGGTTGGATTTGAAATTCTTGCCTTTTGGATGAAAAGAGGCACAAGTTTTCAAGTGCTGTTTCTACTTCCAAGCCTTTTACAAAGAAGCTATAATATTTGATAATAATGGTAGCATAGATATCTGAATCTGAAACTTCAGAGCAATTTCTCAGTTATGCTACTGCTCTACTGTCTTAACATCTGTCAGGCTCTTTACTGTTTATTAAGCTTGTATAATAAATAGAATGGAAAAGTTTACAGCCTCTGACACTGAGTTTCTATTATGTCTTCAATGTCTTCCCACATATGCTGATGGGATTCTATAAATACCAAGTAACAGCCAGAGGCATGGACAAGGTATCACTTTGCTAACTGAAGAAAGACAGTTTTATAATAAGCCTTCGGGACTGAACATTTCAAACAGTTTTCATATGTGGCTTCTGAATGCTGCTCTGAACAGTTTTGGGAGTTGGAACAAGGCCTTATAACATGCACGGTTTTGACACTTTCCTTTAAGATGCCGTTATAAGCCTCAATAAAACATTTCAGGGGGCACTCACACCTCAAAGCAGGATGTGTTTATTCAATGACTTCTTACTGTGTCTTATCTTTGGATTTAAAAACAGCTGCTATAATTGTAACATTTTTCAAAGCAGTATATATAATCCTCTTTCTGGAGTTTTCATTGAAGACAGGAGCAAACCAGATGTATGAATAATGTTGAAAGGAGTTAGTCTCCTAGAAAATTCCGCTCATATTCCAAACAAAAAGTCAGATAAAAAAATCTTTGTGTGTTACTTTTTAAACATATTGTCAATACATCCTCCATAATTTAATTTCATAGATGACATAAATCTTTGATCCCAGTCTTCCTTCCTGCACAATTTCTGGAGATGGTGACACTGAAGTGATCCTTGTAACATGTCAGTACTTGGCAGGCAGGCAGGAGGATTTGATTTAAAAGACTTGCCCTTTCCAAGACACACATTCCCATGGGTGTCAACTAAGCCTCAGCACACACAGTATGGGCATCACTCAAATGCTAAAGCCATGTATCACTTTCTTTAAAAGCAAATATTCACTCCTTCAATGAACCCCTGTATTCAGCTATCCTAGCCGTAGAGTTATACATCATGTAAGAATAACAGATACAGTCATTGTATTTTAAGGTATCATATAATTAGGATTTCAGATGTTTAAGGTCATATATTTTATTTTCTTCTGCAAAATTATAAGAAGGATATTTATTGTGTATTTTATTCATTATCCAGGCTGATGTACTTAATTGATCTGTGTCAAAAATGAGCAGAGATACTATGCAGTTCAAGACCACAATGAAGTATCTATCACTGCACTGTAGTAAGGAAGGTCCATGGTGAAAAAGTCTAAAGATAGCAAGGCATGATGTGGATATGGAGTGGTGTGGACACAGAAAGAGAAATAGCACATGATCTCACTTATATTTGAAACTAAAAAGTTGATTTCATAGAATTTTAGAATAGAATGAGATTACCAGAGTCTGGAGAGGCAGAGGCAGGATGCATAGGGAAGGACTGATCAATGGGTACTAAATGGCAATTAGACAGGAGCCTGAAGGTCTGTGTGCTGCTGCCCACAGAGTGACTACAAAACAATACAACACACTGTGCATTTCACAAAGGTAGAAGAAAAACATTTGGCAATTTTTATCATAAAGAAAAGTTAAATGTCCAAGGAGATAAATATGGTTAATCTGATTTGAACATTACACGGTATCAAAATAGCAATAATATTACATAAATATGTAAACTGTGTTGTGTTTTATGATCTGTGTGCTGCTGCCCACAGAGTGACTACAAAACAATACAACACACTGTGCATTTCACAAAGGTAGAAGAAAAACATTTGGCAATTCTTATCATAAAGAAAAGTTAAATGTCCAAGGAGATAAATATGGTTAATCTGATTTGAACATTACACGGTATCAAAATAGCAATAATATTACATAAATATGTAAACTGTGTTGTGTTTTATGAATCAAGACAGAGTTCCAAGTATCCAAGTCTCATGTATTCCCCCACACATGTTAAGTCGTATTCATTCAGCCATTTGTATCCAAATGTCCTTCAGTGTAAATGTGTCTACTGGAGTCTAGTTAGCCCATCTAGTGATCATATGTAAGTCATACTCTCCCTTACCCAACAGCAATCAGTCTCCAATAGTTTTTAGTCTAGTGCTGGCCCACCACCTATTTATTTCCTCCCCTTTGAGCCCTTGTTTAATTGAGTTGACACAGGTCCTGTGCTCGATGCCATCATTGCCACAAGTTAACATGTGCAAGCTTCCAGGCCACTGGAAGCCTCTGTTTCCTTGTGTCCATGAACCAGCCCCAGCTCTTACAATCTTTCCACCCCCTCTTCCACAATGCTCCCTGAGCTGTGGGGGGATGGGGTTCCATATAGGAGTCCTATCCTACACTCTACAGTCTCGTATTCTTTAAAACTTGGCCAGTTATGGACTTCTGTGTGCATCACACTCTGTTGTATAAGGAAGTTTTATTGCTGAGAGTTGAGGGATACATTAGTTTTCTCTCTATCCCTTACTCTGCTATGTTCCATGAGCCTTAGTTGTAGAGGTTCAACTGCAGATGTGTCACCTAGTACAGGCTATCTCTCAGACGTATATTCTCTATCTCTGATCAGATGTGCAATTCTGCAGTAGCCTCTCCGTCTGTTGCAAAAAGAAGCTTCTTTGCTGAGTGGTGTACAATATGCTTGTTTGTAAATATAAGGATCAATATTTAGCATATAGTAAGAAATTTTATTTTCTAGAGAGATGAAAGAGGTAGGGTTTTTTTTTTTTTTTTAGGACCTATGTCCTCTCTTCCCATGTTTATTTGGCTGAGTTTACAGTGCCACCCTTGATTTCCCTCCCATTGAGAGGGTTTAAGTCTAATTAGATAGCTGTTGATTGCCCCCCAGATAACAGTGCTACTATTGCACCAATAGAGGTAGTTTGTGCTGCTGGGCATTATGGTTATGCTGGTCATTAGGCTTTAGGACTTGGTTGAGCCATTGAATGTTTTTTTTTTTTCCCTTGGCAGTTTGCATAGCATCATCCAGCATTATTAGAGCCAAAATTCCATTAGAAGGTTAGAAGCAGTTTCTGCTTCATTGTTTCAAGTCCTGTATCCTAAGTATGTCCTGTCTTCAACAGTAGGGTCTTGTCTACTAGTTCGGGGAGATAACCAGGAGGTTTGGCAGTAGCCTGTGTTATTTTGGGAGTCTCCTGGACCATCTTCACCAACTACTGAATGGGAGGAGAATCTCTTCTGTCTGATACTGTGTTCCTTGCCAAGCAGCTCTCAGGTAAACACATGCATTAATATTTAGACACTGTATGTGCATTTCTCATAGGGTTTCTAGGACATCGCTTTTCCCTCTAGGTTTCCTAGCCCTGCCCCCCCAAGATTCATTCCTTTCTACTCTTTTTTTTCTCCCATCTGGCCTCCCTCCACCCTCCGTAGTCACGGCATCCCTATTATCCCCACCATCCCCCAAACACCACCTGCCTCCCACCATCTTCCCTTTCCTGACTTCCCTCCCTTCCCCCTTCCCCATACTACAGCCCCTCCCTCCCTCCTCCCTCCTCTTCCTGCTGCCGAATACCCACTTTCTCCACCTTCCCCCTAGTAACACCTGTTTCCCACAATCCCCCTTTCAGGTTCTTTCTTTTCCTTTACCTCCATGTATCCTTTCCAGGCTCCAAAGGTTCTTTCTTTTCCTTTACCTCCATGTATCCTTTCCATTTTCCTGGCTCCAAAGGTTACATCACAATTTATGTACTCATAAACTTTGTGTACGTATAAGGGATTGCTGCTACAATGTGCGAATGAAGGAGAATATATGTTGCTTGCATTTCTGCATTTGTGTTACTTCACTTAGTATAATACTCTCTAGTTCCATCCATTTTTCTGCAAGTTTAGTATCATGTTCTCTTACTTCTGAGTAGAACTCCATTGTGTAGATGTACCATATTTTCATTATTCATTTGTCACTTGTGATAGGTTCTGCTTTTCACAGTGGTTGCATGAGTTTACATTCCCACCAGCAATCAATGAGTGTTCCTCTTTCTCCACATCCTCTCCAGAATTTGGAGTCTTTCATTCTCTTGATTGCCAGTCTAACTGGGGTAAGGTGGAATCTTAAAGTGGTTTTTATTGGGTCATTTATTTACTTATTTCTTTGTTTTTTTGGGGGGAAGTTCTTTGTATATTCTGAATCTTAATCCT